AAACTCGTGAATATGTTTTGGCCGCAGCTGCCGAAGGCGCACATGCCACTACTTCTGATGCAAATGCGGCTAATAACAGCCCCAAGGATGTGACTTCTACCGGGCATTATTTACGGCGCAAGAACTTCTAATGCATACATGCCATTATTTCTGCCCAAAAATTATCTACGCCACAAAACTTCTAACGCAAGAAGCTCACGCGGGTTTACTAATAATTCAGAGGCTACAGTTCTGCGTTTCATGTATTTTAATGCAAGAACCTCTGACGCGTATGCTTCCGTATGACAAATGTTTTGCACAGCATTGTTTCGTTGCACGCGTCACTGCTTCTAATTGCAGGGACTTTAGCGCATAAACTCGAACGCAAAAAAAACGCCAAAACTTGTACGCGACTTCACTTGCACGCAAGCGACAGTACTTTTAATTGCAAGAGTTTCTAGAGTATAATCGTCTGCGAATTTAGTATCAATGGTTCTACCTGACACCACGTGTGCGCGACAAAACTTTCAACGTTTAATATGTACGCGACATCTCGTCTAATGCCAGACAACCTGGTGGATAGTTTTTAGTGAAATGCAGTTTTCAACCCTAACACTTTATACGCGACACACGTCCAACGCAATAAGGTTTACGCGGCGCTGCTGCCAGCATGGAAAGTTAATCCCAGGGTTTCCGAGTTTCGGTATTCCATCGTTCCAAAATGACGATTCCTGGTTATCCCGCGATGGTGTGATTACGTGCTATTTATGGTATTTTAGTTTACATTGGTGTTTACCCGCAACGACAAAGGTACAAACGTATTCACATGTGATCCACTGTGCACGTGTGTTCTTTTATTATCATAGATAAGGCAGTAGTAGTAGCCTTATTCCCGGGAAAAGAACCAGGGGAATGGAGATATAGTTGGTCAGTCAGTTGGTCAGTTACTTACAGTGTTGCCTGACGCGTATATTGTGTAGGTGATGACTGACCCGTGATGTGCGATAGCTGTTAAGTTGAAATAGTTTGCATGTATAATTGATGTGCGATATGTGATGCCTGTTTACTTCATATCGCTTGTATGTTTGAATGAAGCATGATGCGTTATGCCTATTTGCTTAAATTCGTTTGTAGATGCAAGTATGTTCGCGCATTCTAATTCTGACATAGGCATCGTATCGTGGTAATAGCGAGCAATCGCTCTTTATTTCATCCCCTGAATGTTGGTTTCCTGGAAAACTGGCCTGCTGTTAAAAAAAACAACTGAAAATCGGGTAGGATCATCGGCAGGCAATTTTGAATTCACTTCTGCTATTGTTTCGATAAAGGCATGTTGCCGAGATATCAACCCAACTATTTCTCGATTCTCCTGTTTTTTTTTCTTCCGAGGAATAAGGCTGATACTACTGTTTTATCTATGTGAATAATGCTCCTCGCTAATGCACTGAACAACTTCGTAATTATTTTATTATCCGCAACATTTTGACACTTAGGCTCTGCAGTGAAAAAAAACAATGATTCGCTGTACAAATGGGTCCAAATTTTGTTAATACTGTGTACTGGAAGTTGGAATTACTGAGCGGGTGTTAAAGCGCATATATTTAGGATTCGATACACAACCAGTTGTGTGACATAGGTATCGTTTGTCGATATAATAAGAATTGCCGAATCCCAAGGCACCCTCCCAGCCATCACATTGGTCAATTTCCCCCGGTACCGGACCGGCCTGAGTTGCTTGTCGCTCGGTCGGGTCACAAGGCCGCTGATCAGCGTCCGCCCGGCGGGGCAGCGCCTGAACCTCTGGCGACCAGCCGGCGTGAGCGGTCAGTGTTGCCTCGGTCACCCCCCAGTCTCCGTCTTGGCCGCTGAGTGCTTGGTTTTTGTTCGTGTGAGCACAGAGTATATGCTGATCAGTTTAGGCTTATTTTGCATATGGAAACTGGCATAAAACCGAGACTGAGTGGACGTTGAGGGGACGCTGTTCCACGTTTGCAATGCCTTTCCCGCACGACTACATACAAAGAAGACTTGTACCGTCGTTTTTTGGAGGGGGTAGGGGGGGGATTGCCAACCCCGATGAAGTGACAGTGTTCGCTCGTCTTTCACATCGAGTGATTAAGACCCAAGCTATTCACGTTGTTCTACTGGTGTCGAGCTAACGCTGACCGGCTTTGGCTCAGTTTCTGCAAGGCAACGGACATCCACTGGACGGCTGGTGCCGCTCGGTTTCTTCAGCTGACACTGAGGGAACGGTTCCTTTGCAAAATGAGACGAAACTTCACCTCAGTAAGCCAACATGTACCAAGACTCTGCGAGGCGAATGATACAAGATTGAGACACGAAGCAGTTTATTGTGCGGACAGAACGTGAGCAACATGATCAGCGGGGGAAATCGTGTGAAAAACAGTGAAGCAGCGACGCCGCCACGGACAGAATGTGCGGTAGCGGCAGGTGATCGAGATTCGGGCGGCTGGATGGCTCGTGCGAGGTGGTGTGCAGAAAAACACGAAAACTGGTGAGGAGAGTATGAACTAAGTACTGTTTTTGGAGGACGTATCCGCAATGCCTTCCCACTTGCTCGTGTGGAGTTCAAATCCGCAGCCAGTCACAGGGAAAGCTTAGACTACAACTAACGCGCCTCCAACTAACTACTATACATTTATTCATGTAAAACGAATATTTGTCCATTATACGTATTCCACACACCGAAGGTCGACCAACTGCGCGATCTTTGTTGCTCAGCAGGGACAACACTGCTCTGGAGAGAATGATGTGGGTGCTTGTGATGCCTGATCTGTGGAACTCCGACATCCGGTCGCTGGTCCCTGCGCTGGCAGCCGGGATGCGGAGGCAGCCGCCGACGCACCTGGTGAGCAGGCCCAGATGCCCACTTTCCCCCAGATCCGGAGATCCGGATGTGGTCGGATGAACGGCGTCTGGATATGAGGAATTTCTCGCGCCGCGTGGCACGGAGTGCAGTGCCTGACGCGGGCGACGGCGACTCCGTGCCAGTTCCGCCGCCGTCCGCTACTGGGGAGCCGCGGCCGAGGAGGCGACCACGAGCGTGAGGAAGATGGCACCGGCCAGCCGGTCGAGCAGCTCGGCGAGTGCCGTCCACTCGTAGCAGAGAGTGGCCGGCTTCTCGCTGGCGTCGGGCGCCGCGGTCAGGCAGCAGACGCAGGCCAGCGCGCCGCCCAGGCAGCGGCGCAGGCAGGCCGGCAGGCGGAGCGCCCGCGGCCGGCCCAGCGCCACTACCAGCACCGCCCACACCAGCACACCCAGCGCCACGTACGTGTACGCGTGGTAGGCGCGCACGACATGCGCGCGGAACGCGGCATCGCCCTCCGCGCCGAACTCGGCGAACGCGGCCGCGCCGGCCGCCGCCACCGCCAGGCAGGGCAGCGTCAGCTTCTGCGGCGAGTCGGCCGGCACGAGGAAGTTGGCGGCCGCCGCGATCAGCGACACAGCCACCGGCAGGTTGGGCCAGGCGGTGAGCGAGGCCGACCGACGCATCGTGACGGCCAGCGCCACGTCGATGTACGGCTCCGGGCAGCAATCGTACATTATCACGTTGCGCTGGACGCTGGCGTTTTGCAGCTGCCAAAACTGGTCGGCGATCACGTAGCTGGAGAGGTCCACCGCCGGTTCCACGAGATCCACCGCCAGCCCGTCGTACGTCCACGAGCCGAGCTTGGATTGGCATAGGAAGCTGTCCACCTGGTAGTGGTAGTCGCGCCGGCAGGACACGCGCAACGCGGCCGGCCCCACGTACAGCATTTCGCCCGAGTTGGAGACGACGACCAGTGTCGGCGCCAGCCAGTCGGGGTCCGGCCGCGGCAGCATGTTGTACGCCATCACGTCCGGCATCCAGACGTCTGTCGTTGGCAGGCGCACGTCGCGCACGCCGCCGTAGTCGGCTGGCTCCCAGCGCAGCGCCGGGTCCGTCCACTTCAGGGACACCCACAGGTGGAGCGTGGCCTCGCTCTCCCGGACGTGCAGGTCCACCCTCTGCAGCGTCAGGCTCAGCGACACCGACACCGTGTCGCTGTCGTTGAGCGCGGCTCGCACGCGCGGGTCGTAGTCGGTCAGCATGTCGGCCAGCAGGCGCGTCTCGTCGCTGGCGGCGCGGCCGGCGCCCGCCAGCAGCGCCAGCAGCAGGCAGCGGAGCGGCAGCGCGAGCATGGTGGCGGCGGCGGCGCGACTGGCGCGCGCGGCCCGACCGGCCCGCGGCCGCCGCTGGAGGAGCAGACGCGACGTATTGATCTTGGCCGTCCGTTGCCGGGAGAGATGGCGCTCCCGGGAGCACCGACACATGAGACGCCCCAGCTTCCTGCGAGACGGCTTTGCCGGACACTCGTGTACTCGCGGGTCTTCTCCAATGTTTGTCACTTGTATGACGGGGCGGCATTTATTTTGCAAGCCGTTTCCACAAAAAACTCGTCGCGTCTAGGGGATCGAAATTTACAGACGCATTACATGGTTCAGGCCTATCAACACAGTTTTTAAATGTTACACGCCGTAGAATCACGGGGAGGTTCTAATGCAATATAATGTCTCACCCTCGACAAGCCGCAAACAGCGGAATTAGACGGTTCAAGAAAAGCGACTTGTTTTTTGCCGTAAAGTCTCACGCGAAAGCGCCGCCATGATGGGAGTATGACCTGGAAGTATGGCAGTAGTATGACCCGGAGTTGAAATGACACGAACACGCGCAACACGTGGGTCGGGCTGACGTGGCTAGAAGCATTGTAACTGTTTCTAAACTGGCTTAACTAAAGCGAGCTATGAAAACGCCACTTCCATCCCGAAGCGGCGTGACATTAGGACCGTGCGCGAGATGCGGCCGTGCGCGTCTTCGCCAGCGGTCTGATAGCACGTGGCCGCCCCAGCGTCCCACAGCACGTCGGTGCACGCTCAGGATCCTGGCGTGCCCCCGCGGCGCACCGCCGCTGTCTGCTGCTCGTGGCGTGTTGAACGATCGCCTTGCTTGCGCCGGTTGCTGAGTGTGCCTCGGTCGGCAGGATCAACTCGAAGATCCCGCGCGGCCCGCCGTCGCCGCCGGCGCCCGTGATGCACTCGCCCACGCGCAAGGTCACCGTCAAGGAGCAGCAGGACTGGAAAATACCGCCCTGCATATCCAACTGGAAAAACGCCAAGGTGAGGCGCCCAGGAGCGGGTCAGCCGACGACAGGGAACTGGCCGTGCGCTGGACTTTGTGTTCTCCTGTTCGCAAGCGTGGTCTGTGGAGGAGGGCATTGGTGTGGTGATCTAAAACGGGGATTCATAAGAGCATGTGCCAGCGCCCTGCTCGGCTCCAGGTCATCCAGGCGGAGCAGTCAATTCGCATGCGCCCATTGTGATGCGTGGAATATGAAACGATTACCCTGCCGCGGTGCACAGCAGTCGGCCACATTGGCTGCCTGTAGGGCTTATACAAGGCGGTTTGCCCAAAATTAAAAGATTTTGGACGCTTCAGACATTTAACAAAGCATATTGCTTACTGTGTGTCACATTCCAACATTGCAGCAAAGCCGAGTATTGTACACCATAATTCCCCGCTGGCCCTATAAATCCAGGCATTATTCTGCCGTGCACCAGCATGATCTGTCGGCCAACGTCACTGATGGGTTGACAGTGATGATGTCATCCCGAACGACTGGGACTCTAGCGATGCCTTACATAAACTCCCGCCGTCAGCGTGCAAGAGACTCGTATGATTATGACAATTTTCCACACATTCGTGGCATTTGCTCGTCTGACGATAATCCTCGGGAGCACTGTTTGCAATTTGCATAGCCGAGTACAGCACCGATCTGGCTGGAGGGCGGTCATTTGGTGCAGACGCGATGACCCCCGGTAGCTGGACATCGATCTCCTCTGTCGTAGACTGGTCTCTGATACCGATCTCCTGTGTCGTAGACTGGTTTCTGACGCCCATCCCCTGTGTCGTAGACTGGTTTCTGACACCCATCTCCTGTGTCGTCGACTTGTCTCTGATACCGATCGCTTGTGTCGTAGACTGGCCTCTGACACCTATCTCCTGTGTCGTAGACTGGCCACTGGCACCGATTTCCTGTGTCGTAGACCGGTCTCTGACACCGATCTCCTGTGTCGTAGACTGGTCCGTGATACTGATCTCCTGTGTCGTAGATCGGTCTCTGACGCCGATCTCCTGTGTCGTAGACTGGTCCGTGTAACTGATCTCCTGTGTCGTAGACCGGTCTCTGACACCGATCTCCTGTGTCGTAGACCGGTCTCTGACACCGATCTCCTGTGTCGTAGACTGGCCTCTGACACCGATCTCCTGTGTTGTAGACCGGTCTCTGACACCGATCTCCTGTGTCGTAGACCGGTCTCTGGCACCGATCTCCTGTGTCGTAGACCTGTGCGTGGCGTGCTCCGCCGGCAGTGTCCATGCTCTTACCGCCGTTCCACCGCATTACTGTCTTCTGCCCCGGCATGTAAACAGTGCGTAGCTATGGTATGCTTTGTTTATGTGCGGGCTTGTGAATGTGTTCTGGGAGCTGACACAGAGGTGTCCTTGGCGGCGCTGTCATTTTTTTTTTACCGCTGTGCGGCCAGCGCCTTGGACGGCGCTAAGTCCGTTGAGGTTGGCCAGCGTCCACGTCGGCTCTGAGTGATATATTTACGCGGCATTGGCCCGGCGCGCGGCGACAGAAAGGCGGCTCGCACGTTTGGGTGTTGCTTGGCCGACAGCTATTTCCGCGTGCTGACACCGACGAGGTCGTGACGGGTGCGCTGTCAGAAGTGTCTTCCTGCCACGAGTCCCGCCCACCTGCGCGCCTGCAGGATCGCAATGCCCTCCAGCGCTCCTCTACTATTGCCCAAAAAGGCAGTTTGCTCCGTGTTGTCGTAGTGGAACACTCAGTTCAAAAGGGCCAATGCAGCTTGGAGGTTGACGTTTATAAGTTCAGTGCAAAATAGCCAATGCGGCTTGGAGGTTGACATCTATAAAGGGCAATGGTATTAAACTCAGGAGGGCTAGGTTTGATGGAAGCCGAAGAGAGTTACGTGTAATGATGAAATCCATGCATTTGCATTCTGACTCGGGATTTCCTATGTCGAAAACAGTCGACGGATATACGAAGAGGAACTGGCTCAACGATGTTACCAAGCATGCAGTGTATATATATATATATATATATATATATATATATATATATATATATATATATATATATTGAGAAAACGTGGCGTCTCGACGTTGTGCTCCATTTGCAGGCGTGATCTTGCGAAACTTGTGTGGTCTTGCAAGCGTTCAGATTATGTCCAAAAACTGCAGAAATACCCCCAGCCATGACAAATTTTGCGCCTCGAGACAGGCGCAGGCCAGAACGAGTGTCAAAGCCGAGTCGCGCCAGATGCGCCTGAAATTTGTCATTCCCAGTCTAGGGCCATGAAGCACAAATCTAGTGGGCGGAGTGAACTGCTCGCCCCAGCGACGTCCCAGCCTGGCAGTCCAGGGCAACGGGCCTGGCAGGCTCGCCCGGCCGACAGGATTGGCTCCCGTAAGGTCGAGCAAGGTGCCGCAGGGTCGAGGCGGTTGCCGACCGTCTGTCGTCACACCGTGCGATTTACCGGCTAGGGAAGTGCGCGTAGTTTGGGACTGTTGCCAGACAGAGATGTGCCGAACATGTGGAAGCCGCTCCACATTTCCAGATGTGCCTGCTCATCATCAGATGCGTGTGCTGATCTCCATCGCCGGCCTACCACCCATGTGGTCACTCATATGGCCGCAGAATAATAAGCCCTCATGTGTGTTGGCACCGTTTTGACCAGCGGGATGCCGGAACCCCGTGTGACTGAGGCTCGAAACCTAACCAACCTGACCGATCATCATGCCCATGTCTGTTGTCGCCGGGGGTGTACAATGCGGTGGGCCGTCCCACCTCTGCACCGTGGGCACTCACCACGCAGCACTGACCTGACCTCACCCAACGCGGTCGCTTTTCGGTGACCCCAAGGCTGAACGTGACCGCTCCCCCACCCAGCGCTGCACATCGCCCCTCGGTCACCTCCTGACCCGCATGCCACCGTGCACCGTCACACGCCGGTCGCCGGTGGGACAACCCGTCGCCTGCCACCGCCCAGAGGCACAGGCGCGAGTGAGCCTTCACCACGCCGTCGCCCCCAGGGCTACACGATCCCGCTGGACAAGCGCCTGGCGGCGGACGGCCGCGGCCTGCAGCAGGTGCACATCAACGAGAACTTCGCCAAGCTGGCCGAGTCGCTGTACATCGCCGACAGGAAGGTGCGGCTCGGCATGCGGTCGGGGCTCGCCGCTCAGCCGGCTGCCGGCGGGCGGCGGCGAGCTGTGACCCCGTAGCGACGGTGCGACGCAGAGCAGGACCGGCGGCGTGTCGGCCGAGACCGTAGCGTAGTGTTGTGGTGCGGAGTTGGCAGTTGTGAAGAGGTAGCTGCCGATGTTCGGGCGGTGGGTATGTTGTAATCCGCAGTCTATCGATGAAAGCATTGTAGAAACATGGATAATGAGATGCAGCGAGACTTAAGCTGCGCACGTTTTGGCTATGATTATGGCAGTGATTATGATTAAGATTATGATTATGACATTTCCATGACTGCGGTACTTGCGCTGTGTCGGTCAGCTGTGAGTTCTGCGTAAGGCACGCCTAACCCTCCCCTCCCCCTCCTTCTCCTGTGCACAGTCGCGCGAGGCCGTGGAGATGCGTGCCCAGCTGGAGAAGCGGCTGGCGCAGAAGGAGAAGGAGCGCAAGGAGGAGACCCTGCGAGAGCTGGCCAAGAAGGCGCGCGAGGAGCGCGCCGGCATCCGCACCACCGTCACGAAAGAGGGTGAGACGAGGAGTCGGCAGGGTCTGCCGGCCGGCCGGGCCACACGACGCCCACCGCTGCAATAGACGTGAAGGCGGTGCCACGACCTTCACGTCCATCGTAGCAGTGGGCGATGGTTCACGTGTTTGTAATTCGGGTATTGATGATTTTGCTTGTTTTTGTCATTCGCGTGTTTCTGTCGAAAGTTGTTACGGTAGTTTTATTACGTTCCTAGCCGAGAGGTTCCCCGGTTTTAGGATTTGTTGTGTAACGTCTTCTGATAGGTAAGGTAAGTCATTAGTTGTTTTCTGTCTATGGTGGGTGAACGTGCTGAGTTGAACCCAAGCTTTTTTCTGGCGGGCTGCTCCACGAGAACTGAAGACGGTGATCGCACGCATTTGCGCCCTATGTCGACAGGCTGTTCGGGTGTAACCAAGTATGGCGCCACATACGCGCTGCTGCAGAAGTTCTCCCGTCCACAGACATTGCACCGGTCCAGTGGAGGCAAAGGGCTCACTTAGCTGCCCTGGTTTGCAGTCGACGCGTCGCAGCAATTAGCACGGGATCTCCGATGACGTCTCTCAGTTCGCAAACTTGTTTCTGGCCGAATCTAGACGGAGGACTTGTCTGGCCCTTGACCACCTACAGGCAGCACAGGAGCGTGATCTTGCGATGACACCCACTCACCGGCCAGTCCACAGACGGTGCCCCGGTCCAGTCCCGTCAGAGGACCTCTCACAGGCCAGTCCACAGACGGTGCCCCGGTCCAGTCCCGTCAGAGGACCTGTCGCCGGCCAGTCCACAGACGGTGCCCCGGTCCAGTCCCGTCAGAGGACCTCTCACAGGCCAGTCCACAGACGGTGCCCCGGTCCAGTCCCGTCAGAGGACCTCTCACAGGCCAGTCCACAGACGGTGCACCGGTCCAGTCCCGTCAGAGGACCTCTCACAGGCCAGTCCACAGACGGTGCCCCGGTCCAGTCCCGTCAGAGGACCTCTCACCGGTCAGTCCACAGACGGTGCCCCGGTCCAGTCCCGTCAGAGGACCTCTCACAGGCCAGTCCACAGACGGTGCCCCGGTCCAGTCCCGTCAGAGGACCTCTCACAGGCCAGTCCACAGACGGTGCACCGGTCCAGTCCCGTCAGAGAACCTCTCACCGGTCAGTCCACAGGCGGTGCCCCGGTCCAGCCCCCATCAGAGGACCTCTCGCCGCCCAGTCCACAGGCGGTGCCCCGGTCCAGTCCCGCCAGAAGACCTCTCGCCGTCCAGTCCACAGGTGGCGCCTGCTCGAACCACGTCCGAGGACGCCCGCTGACGCCGCCTCGCCCGTCTCAGTGCGCGCCGCCGCCCCTGTCCGCAGACGAGGCGGCCCGCGAGCGCGACGCCCTGCGCCAGGACCGGCACAAGGACCGCGCGCGCGAACGCAACCTGGCGCGCACCGGCAACGACAAGCGCAGCAAGCAGGAGCGGCAGCGCGAGCGCGACATCTCGGAGCAGATCGCGCTGGGCCTGCCGGCGCGGCCCGGCGGCACCGGCGAGACGCAGTTCGACCAGCGCCTCTTCAACCAGAGCCGCGGCATGGACAGCGGCTTCAACGACGAGGACGCCTACAACGTGTACGACAAGCCGTGGGGCCAAGGCGCGTCCGTGGCGCAGGCCGTCTACCGGCCCGGCAAGAACGTCGAGAAGGAGGTGTACGGCGACGATCTGGAGAGCCTGATGAAGACCAACAGGTGGGCGCCGGCTCCGGCAGGAGATTGGCTTGCTCTGGGTTGCCTTTTGGTATGGGCATCTGCACATGATAATTTTATATGGGTACCTTGTCCGTGAGAATTTATCGCCGAAGGCTGATCCCGTGGTCATGACGTGCTGGAAGGTAACGTATATCAAGCAGGCTGCATCTATTTATTTTTAGATGATCAAACGCACCTCACAGTTAACAGGAGGTATTTCGCTTAAGTTTGCGTGGAGAGCTTTCTGGAGAGCCACCGTGAATCTCTCATGTCTCTGAGGAGGTTACCACAGACTCATGTCGTTGTTCGCAACGGCGGTTGGTCAACCCGCGTCACTGAATCCACCAGCAGTGTGCCCTCCATGTGGCCGTGGCGCACCGCGTCCCACTCTCCCCCGGTCCCGCGCGTCGCCCTCCCCCCCCCCCCCCCCCCCCGGTGACAGGACGCCGTGCCGCCAGGTTCGTGCCGGACAAGGGTTTCGAGGGCGCCGACCGGAGCGCGCCCCGCTCTGGCCCCGTCCAGTTCGAGCGCCAGGAGGAGTTCGACCCGTTCGGCATCGACCAGTTCCTGACCAAGGCCAAGCAGGCCAGCAAGCGACCCGGCGACGAGCGGCGCGACGACCGCGACAAGCGGCGCCGCCACTAGGCGGGCGATCTGCGGCGCCAGGCGAGCGGCCCGCGGGGATAGGTCGGCGGTTTGTGGCGCGAGGTCGGCGGTCCGTGGCGCCAGGCCGGTGGTCTGTGGCGCTAGGCCGGCAGTCCGTGGCGCCAGGCCGGTGGTCTGTGGCGCTAGACCGGCGGTCTGTGGCGCTAGGCCGGCAGTCCGTGGCTCCAAGACGGTGGTCTGTGGCGCCAGGACCGGCGGTCTGTGGCGCTAGGCCGGCGGTCTATGGCGCTAGGTCGGCAGTCCGTGGCGCCGGGCCGGTGGTCTGTGGCCGGTGGTTTGTGGCTAGGCCGACGTGTGCCACTGGGCTGACGCGGTCGGTCGCTGGGGCGAGGAAGGTCGGGTCGGAGCAGCGAGATGCGCTGTCAGGTCGACGGTCGCGACAGACAGGCGGACCTCGGACGGACCGGCGTGCTCTTCTGATGTCTGTGGCTGGTGAAGCACGTCCCCGGCCGGTGCCGGCGCTGCGCTGCTGGAGTGCCCCCCAGCGGTCACGGCCGACCTGTGACGCTCTGGGGGGCGCCGGCTCCCCGCGCCCTGCAGCCACCCTCCGGGCCCTGCTGCCACGGCGGCAGCGATGCGCGACACCATCATCTGACGGCGGCTGTCAGTAGTGCGAGTGGCTCCGTGGTCCTGTGTCAGCCCCCGCCAGCGGCCGGTTGGAACGCCAGGCGAGGAGCGGCGGCAGCACCGTCTGGTGGTGGTGAGCAGAAGCATGTTCCGCTCGTCGGCGACGCGCCGATCACGTTCCCCGCGCCGGTGGAGTGCGCCTCTCGCCGCGGGCGTGGGGTTAACGTAGAAGTGCGGCGCTCGTGCAGACGAGGCCGCGCGCGAAAATGTGCGGATGTGGTCGGGTGTGGTCTTAGACATGGCTGGTATTGAATGGCCTGGGATGCAGTGTGCAGGGGAGTGTGGCGTGCCGGGCAACGAGCAAGTGAAACTTTGTGGTCGACATCTTCGGTGAATACTGGCCATTCATTGGTCTTCGACCTTGGCCACATCTCTGTTTGGCGCGAATGGCTATCATTTCCCTGTGTGTGTGCATATGTGTAGGCTGTATGGTCAGCAGTGATGTTGGTGTTTACAGATGATCGCCTCCTTACTTCGACATCCATTTGATACGATGTGCACTTGACGGACAGCATCGCCCAATACATCCACATGAAGCAGCGATTTACATCAGTTGTGGGGAATGTTGCTGGTTAATTATACGCAACAGCAGCTGCCTTCTAAGTCGCCTTATGCCCCGTGTCATCGTCGCGCCCATCCACCTCTTCGATCAGTAGCATTTGACAAACTATGCAATTCAACGGGCCGGCGATATTGCGTGATTCAGATGGTGCGCGGGACCCAGTGCCGAACCGGTGTTGAACGGAACTCACGAAATGAGAGGAGTGTATAACATTGAATGTATGAAATAGCTCCGGATCTAATAGGTTGCGTTGCTTGTTTTGGCGCTTGATTCTGGGCACTGTAGAGATACGGTTCGCTGGCGCCATTTTCTTAACGTGCAATGACGAAGATAAATCGACGGCGTAGCTAAAAGGGCGGGGGGGGGGGGGGGGGGGGTAGCGGGGTGTTCTCCGAAGTGACCGGAAGCACCAGTAATTGTTGGCAGTGAAGTACACCCGTTGACTTTCTGAAGCATCAGGCACGGTCCTGTGCGAATTCTTGGCTATACCAGGGGTAAATGCCGTCCCAAGCATGATTGGGAATGCGTTGCATTTTCGGGACCAGGGCTTGTCATCAATATGCGACGCCGGTGTGTGTGTGGGGGGGGGGGGGGGCAATTGGTGGGCAGCCATTGGTCCCCTGAGGGCTCCGCAGGGCCTGCGGATCTTCACGTAGGTCTCGTGATGGGGCTGGGCGACACAACTGAAAACGGCTGAAACCAGCTAAAGCCAGGAAAGTAGCTTTGAATTATTCAATGACTCGGTCTTTTTTTGCATTTTGCAATCACCGTGCGCAGTTGCAAATACGGACCAAATTCCTGCGAAATCGTTGAATATCTCATACAAATTTCACGGAAGGAGACATGATATGAACCGTCGTGCTCGCCTGCGAGTTAGCAGGTAGGTAGTAAGTACTCTAGGAGGTATATCGATACTCCGTACTCTGATATAACACCAGTCCTCAGGATTTGTCGAGTCTTGGGAAGAGGTGAGTTGTGTTTATCTTTCCGCTACACACGAGTTGCAACTAGAATTTTCTCCTCGGCATTGCTGGGATCTCGAGCCGGGCTTTCCTGATTGCAAGACCAGCGCTTATCAACTGAGCTAACGGTGAAAAAAGGCCAATAATTCCACTTGTTTGTTCCATGTTAGCTAACTCGATAGAGGGCTGGGCTCTTAATAAAAAAGGTTCCGGTTTGATTTTCAGCCAGGCTAACACCAGGGGAGGAATTAAGACCTGGATGCGGATCATCAGCCTATGCATAACGCTGATACAAATGCTCGATTTTTCCCGGCAGTTTTACAAAACTTTTCGGTTACACACCATTTGATTCGGTAATTCGTCTTGAAGTAAACCGGCGTCCACCAAAACTCGCGTGTCCAACGTCCTTCACACACGGGCCGTTATCATGGTAGCGCAAGACCGTGCAATAGCCAGTTTTGAAGGTAATGAAACGGCCGTCAGTACCACCAAACGCCGCTCAGCGATTGGCTGCGCGGGCGACAGCTGCACTCCCTCTGCGCTGGAAGCGCCATTGACGGAAGGGGGACGCCGCAGGACGCCGCCATTTTATCGTTGGCGGGTAGCGTGGGGCGCCGGGTTAGCTGCTTGGAATGCCTGTTTGATGTCCTTTCCGCCTTAAATGAGTGGTTTCCTGAGCGTGGTTGTGATTAAATTATTTCTGTTGCGTTTAACAACGAATGCTCTGAGAAAAAGGATCAGGTAGACAGGTAAGCGACTGTTTTTGCGGTGAGACTGCGGCTAAGACGGGAACAAGTTATCTGCGTGGTTTTCCGTCACACTGATTTCCGTGCTTTTTTGGCAAGGATCAATGAAGATGCGTTGAAGCATGTCGGTAGTGTGGTGTAGAATCAATTTGCATCAACCCTGAATTAAATTGAAGAGAGGAAACAAAATCATTTTGGGAGGAAACAATTTACCTGTCAGGTCATGAACTGGCCAATGACCAGTCTGCAAAAAAAAACATCCACTGTAGGATGCATACCAAAGTGCTGAAAATACATGCTAGCTGAGCAAGTCCAGTGCAGTAACAACTTAAAACATCTGCATCACTGTGCATGTGTCATTGCCATATAATCCATCCACTCTGTTGGATGCCTGTGGTGTGCTGAATGTCACTGGTGCATTAAAGCTCATGCTGCCATATCCTGATAACAGGCCAGGACTAATTATGCCAGATTTTTGTATGCTTTTTATGTACATATCTGCTTAATTATGTTTGTAATGTATTCTGCCTCAAACTGCCTAATCAAAATTATAGCACTTTAAAACCTTGGCCCTCTTTACTCTAAATTGATGGGTGAAGATATGTATTTCTGAAAGCTATGATTATCATGTACATGCACTGGATTTATTGTAGCAATGTCCTGCTATGCCTGACATGTTGAGTGAAGCACAAGTGTAATGCGGTCAAGCCTGCACATTTAAGCTGAGGGCTAGAAGTTCAGTGCAGTGTTACTACCAAATTAAGCATATAGAGAGCCAATGTTTCTAGGAATGATGATACTTGAAAGGTTATTTTAGGCAAAGTACTCTCAAAGCATTTTTAGAGCAAGTTAAAACAAAAAGATCAGATCAGAAAATTTTGTAAGGTTGGCCCAGCTCAACATGCACCCAGTTGGCCGGCTAGATACCCTTTGCTTGTGTAGGGGGTCAATTTGGCCCCCCCTGAGATCTCTGGAACTATGAAAGCTAGAGACACCAAATTTACAGAGTGTTTTGACCTGTATGTGAACTCACTTAGGTCAAAGTTTCAGGTTGCTAGGTTGTAACTTTTGGATCAAAAAAGATAAAACAAGGTCAACTTCCAGGTTGGTCTCCAAAGTGCCCCCAGAACCTAGATAACCATTTCTAAGCAAAAGGTCACATTCTCATTCAAGGTCAGTAGCCTTGTTTGACCTTTTAAAAGTCAAGATGATCAAAATCATACAAGATTGTTTTGAGTTTTGCATTTGACTGAGCAACAAAGATTACACTTGGCTGTGCGTTTTTCAAACAAAATGTTGACCTGGGTCATTTTAGGTTGATGACCTATTCTGACCTCTAAGACATCCATGGAAGATGCACAATGCTGTTCCTGCTATCAATAAACTCAAAATGAGCACCAGAAACTATCCCATACAGCGAACCCTAGAGCATGGACAGCAAGCCCTAGACCAAGGGATCCCTGGAACCTAGGCAACTGTTCTAAGCAAAATGTCACACTCAGTTAAGATCATTGACCTTGTTTGATCTTTTAAAGGTCATGGTGACCAAAATGATGTAAGAATGCTTTGAGTTTTGCATTTGGATAAGCTGCAAAGATTATGCTAGGCAGTATATTCCTAAAAACAAATTGTTGACCTGGGTCATTCTAGGCCAGTAACCTAGAATGGCCTATAAAAGTCCATGAAAGGTTATAATATGGTTCCTGCACTGTTATGGGTGCAAAATGACCCCAGAAGTTGACATGCCCTAAAACCCCACTCATCATCATCAATATGGTTCCTTTCATTAATATATTTGAAATGAGCAACAGAAACCAGCCCATACAGCAAGCTTGATAGTTATAAAAACAGGTTGGTTTGGACCTTGACCTGACCTTCATGCCTGACCCTAGGTCAATGTTACTTGTTTATTCAATTTTTGTGTTGCTTAAGAAAGTATCTTAGAGATGTGTGGCTTTGTCTAACACTTCATTGTTGGACCAGATTGAAGGATTCCCCCAAAATTGCTTTTGCTGAAACCATGGCCTGCTTTGACCTGCCATAGATCAATAACCTTTCAAGGTACATCTGAATTTGTGATGCCAAATGATCCGCTGTTCAATTGTCTACGGCTATGCAAAATTTGGTGTGGCTACGCCTTGCTGTTTGGAAACCATTTTGATAAAAATGTTTTGGGGCCCAAGTTGACCCCCCCCCCACCGGAGCACATGTTACGTTTGCTGCATGTGTGGGCCTGGTTAAGAGCACCAATGCTTTAGAGGCACCCAGCACATTTGATCATTTTTCTGTGTTTCAGACTGATGCTTAAATGACATTGGTGTGCCATACCTTGTGCATGGTTTATGCCAAGCCTAGGGCACGCTTACTCTGAGCAGGAGAGGGCCTCCAAAAGCTTCAATCAGCATAAAGGATAAAGGGGAAAGGGCAGATCACTGTCCCCCCTGCCCCACCATGTTCAGTACTGTAAGGCATGAAATAACAAAGACCCCCAGGGTGGGTAGGTGGACACCAAAGCCAATTGTGTTGCGTGAGTATTATGACCTTAGATCAATATTTCTGTGGCAAAATGAGTTCAGACATGTAAATTTTGAGTGTTTTATATTTTTTGGCTTGTCATCATTGTGAATCACTGTGATTTTATGAAATGAACTGAAATTGGATCACACTACATGTTCATCAAAAAAGTTATTGGTGATTCCATTCAGTGATCCAGCAATATTCCACTGCTGCAAATGTATGAAAGGTGATAAGCACCTATGCACATGCTTGGTCACTGGCTATGTTGTTGGCTTTGTCATCCAGTAACATCACAATTTTCTGGTTGGTGTTTTTTGGTGCTTTAAACACTGAGCTAGCTTTACATTTGCAGGAAGATTGAAATTATTCATATGTGCTAGGTTTTCATTTTCAGGATGACAAATTATGTAGCTCTGCCCATATTCCCTGGAGATATCCACAAAAAGTAGAGGGGTCAGGTGTCCATCTCCCTTTACTGCATATGTTAACATACTTCATCGCCAATTTTTTCCTTGAAAATTTGATAGCAAAAAATATGAATAAAAATGTGACATGTTACTCTGGGAGACAATATTGAAGGTTCAGCATGGTGCTGGTTTTAAGCTCTTTTGGATGTTGTAATATTACTGCCATTATGTTCACCATCATGTGTCAAAACATGATGAACTGTGTGGGAGCGGTGCATCATACCTCTGTTATGTCCAGCTGTACAAGACAAAAGTTTGGGGTTGAGTGTGCCTCCTGCTGAGATGTTAACTGGAAACAAAGAGCAATTTTGTTATGAAAGTGATCATTCTCTTTTGATAACAATGACTTGTATAAATTGTGCAACAGTTTTGTGGATGACTGTGACCCAAGATGGGTAGTATTATTCAAGTATCAAACCAATGATGTGGAAATATTATCATCACTGGAAGAAATGACACTAAGCTTTGAAACACTGGCTCCATGGATGCAGCCTCGGGCTCATACAAGGTTCTATCACTCTTCATAACAAACATGAGATGTTGATGTATGATATTGGAAAGGCTTTAGAGTTGATTGTTACAATGTATTTATATATTTATTCTGATAAATGAAGTTGTTTTTGATTATTGCATTGGGATGCCAGTAGTGTATTGGTTAACATGTCTGTTATCCAGTGCACGTCTGGGAAACCAGAGGTACAGGGCTTGATTCCCTGCAGTGCCCACCCTTCCTGCCAGGGTGAGAGGCAGGCAATGCCATAAGGCCTCAGCAGCTGAGTGTGTTGTAATGGCCCAATTATGCACACTTTATTGCATTGATTTTGTGCGGTTCTCAAAATAATGTAAACCAATGTTGTTTATGCTGTGTTCTGTTTTGCTTTATGGATGTTTTTTTATTGAACAAGCCAAATAATGCTTTCAGCTAACCAAACCACTAAAAATAACATGTGGCTGTGAACATGATAAATGTTGACTTGACCTGAGCTTCAACAATGCATAAATTGGAATGAAATTTAGAAGAAAATGCTCATAGGATCATTATATTTTATGATACAGCCATGTATTTGTATTTGCACTGTCAAACCATGTATTTATTTTTCATTAGTATCGTTCAGCAAATATTGCACTGACCATAGCTCCAATAATACATAAATGATTATATCTTGTGATGCAAACTGTGTTTTTAATTAGTATTGGTTAATCTGCTTGGTTGCATGTAGGCTGTTGTCAAATTGTGTGGTACTTCATGTTGGAATCAAACCAGCTCTACCATCAATAGTGTGGGAAAAAGTAATGTGCTGAGACAAATTCCTATGTGAACTTACACAGCATGGGCCAGTGGCCAGAAAAGTCAAAATGTTATTGTCAAAATGTTTGTGCACTCATTCTGAGACAATATTCTTTTCCAAGGGCGTATGCATCAATGATGATATTTAACTTGGAGTAATTTAGTCCTAAAGTGACACACTATATCATCCTGGGTGGGAAACACTCAAGATCTTGTTGAAGGCCAGCATAGTCTCCATTTACAGGTAGTTTTGTGATAATATTACTGATAGTTTGTGATATATAATCACAAAGATTATAAACACATTTACATGTATGTTTGTATGCATGTAAAACATGATATCTGAAGATATCTCTGAAATTGGTCCATGCTGTGAGAGAGTAACCAGAAGTTTCCTCAGCTGGGGCAAGGGGCAAACACAGGACGTCGTTAAATTCCTGCACATGTGGACTAAATTCCTGCAAGGAGGCATGGTAACTAGTGGAAACTTTTGAGCACAGGTCAGGTGGTCCTGTTGATCCCTGAGCAGTGCTCCCCTCCCCTTCCCCTTCCTGAATACAACTTACTCTGACACCAGACATGAAAAACATATTTTGCTATCCTCACCACTCTGAGCAAGCTTCAGAGTGAGTTACCAAAACCCTCCAGAATTGATTGCATTGCATTTTTTTTGTAAAAGTTTGAGTTACACTACCAAAAACATGATTTAAAAGTTGTAATGATTTTCTTATTTAAGTCATTTGAATTATAATTTTGGATGATTAAAACTTTCCTCTTTATGGTGTGACATGTTGGACAGGAGAGCAGTTTTGCAAAATCAGTGGGAAGTGTGACTGAGTAACAAAAAAGTGATGCAATCCACCCCCAAAATATGCCAACAGCTTTTCCCTGAATTTTGCCCACTGTCTTCCCAGAGTTTGCCAGGCTTAAGGTTATGTTGGGTTGGCATTGGTGTTGGGGTGCTGAAGCTGCTTCCAACTGAACAGGGAACAACACCCATGGTGTGAGCTGGTTGTTATCAGTCATGGTTAGAATGAAGTATCATGTTACCAAAAGTGCACAGAACAGATATCTAGTGGATATCTTCCCAGGTACATGTCTATTCAGAGCTCTGTTTAGCCACCATTGGCTGCAGCATTGTGCAGATTTTGAAGTTATTCAAGTATATTTGGGATGAAGGTGAAAAAAGTTCAAAGCTCTGCACAAGACAATCTATGGCTGAAAAACTTGGTGGTAGATCAGCTGGAGATGTACTGACCACCCTTGGACCCACATCTGCAGGAACATGTGCACATTTATGTACAGGTCTTATTGTGGAATTTATTGTATGTATATTAGAAAATTAGTTGCCTTCGATTCTTTAGATCCGTTCTGAAATGGCAACTACAGCATAGTGTTAAACACACCTGTGCTAACCACTGCACATCTGGGAAATCGGAGGTGTGGGGTTTAATTATTCACAGTACCTGCCCTTCCTGGAAGGATTGTAGGCAGGCCATGCTCATGTAGCTTCAGCAGCTGAGTGCTGCCGAGTTCCTGCGATGACCCATTCTTAACACACAGCGTTGTCATCAAATCAGCACTGGAGATGTGTGGCAAACATGGTCAAGTGCTTGCAGTAGAATGTGCCTGAATACCCCTGTGTGTTAGGTTTGCAAAAGAAGGTCACAACCTTGAAGGGTGTTGTTTATATGCATTTGGTGCAGGAAATGTGGTAATACATACAAAGTGATGTGTTTGGCTGTATGAAATTCAATGATGTTGGCCTGATTTTACAGGTGAATCATGGCTGCTGATGGGCAGAGGTTTTGTTTGAAGTGGAACGACTTCAGAAACAGTGTGACTGCTGTGTTTGAAGATTTGAGGCAGGATGAGGAGCTGGTGGACATAACCTTGTGCTGTGAAGGCAAAAAAGTGAAGGCTCACAGAATGATGCTGTCTGCATGTAGCCCATACTTCAGGGAGCTGCTTAAGGTATGTCATTTAACCATTGTGCAGTGTTTCATATGTCCAGAGTGATCAAAGAACATCATTTGTAAGATGAACAAAAGTAGTTATCCTTGCTCAGGAGTGCTTTGTGGGAACTGTACATGGCTACCTCCATGTAATGTAAACAAAGCCCCAACCATCTTTCGGGATGCTGCTTAAATAATGAGATGCATTGGACACCTGGAGCAGTGTTTTGCCTATGGAGTAGTACATTAATGCAAGTGCTTGCTCACACTTGCCATACACATTAATGACAACTTTTAGGACCCTCACATCATTTTGTTATATTCATGGTTAACATATGTCAGTGTAGGAGAGCTTCATTTGCCTGCCTATTTCAGGAGAACCCTTGTCAGCATCCAGTGTTTTTCCTCAAGGACACAACTTTTATCGATCTCAAGGCAGTGATACAGTTTGTGTACAATGGTGAAGTGAATGTGACTCAAGGACAGCTCAGCAGCTTTTTGAAGACAGCTGAAATGCTACAAGTTCGTGGCCTGACTGGTGATGATGAGAAGGTTGGTGTTATGACAGATCTGGTCTTTGGTTGTCATGTTTTACCTATGCACAGTTTGTAACCAAGTTTTGGTTCATATTTTGAAAACCTTTATCCACATTTACTGTTCATGTTTAGGCTGGACAACATGCTAGGTTTAGCAAAGATCTTTAGGTGTGACATTGTGGTCCACAAAGGCTTTGAAAAAGGTGAGAAGAATGTCGGAAGTCAATAATGATGTTTTCCAGGCAGGTGGTACAGGGCACACATGTAAGCTCTCTTTAGGAAATATCACATTCTGACCATGCAAGCCCCATTAAGCATCCATGCATGCTCAGTCTCGTGACCAATGTGCCGCAGGAGTCGACAGCGCCGCCACCACCACCCCCGCCAATGCCGCTGCCTCGTCACGCTCCCCCGCCGGTGGTGCCGCAGCACGTGCCGGCCAAGCGGCCTGTGCCGTCCGTCCTCTCGCAGCGCGTGGTGCCGCCGATGCCGGCCAAACGGCCGCTGCCGGCGCCGGCGCCGGCGCCTACGCCGCCCAAACGGCCCGCGCCACTGCCGGCCGCTCACCCGGACGCCGACGTGTATGTGGAGCCGGTGATAGTGTCGGACTCGCCGCCGCCGCCGCCGCCGGAGCGGGCGGCCGCCTCGCCGGCGGCGCCGCGAAGGCACCGGTCCGGCTCGAGCGGCGGCCCGGCCACACCGGCCGGCTCGGAGCCGTCGGCGGACGCGGCGCCGTCGCCGGCCGATGGCAGCGCCCCGCCGCCGCCGCCGCCACCACCGCCGCTGCCGCCGCTCACGCCCGCTACCCTGCCACCGCCGGACGTGCCGCCGCTGCCGCTGCCGCCCGGCGACGGCCGAGACATGGTAAAGGTGGAGAAGGTCGATATCGCCGACGACGACGACGATGTGAGCCTGGAGGCCGCGCTCGGACAGGTGGTCAACTACGAGGGCAGCTACGACTCGGACCAGTCGATGAGCGGCCTGCTGCAGGCCGACCTCAGTCAAGGTGAGGGCACCATGCAGAAGTGGTGGTTAGCCCCACTAGGATTCTATTGTGGTTCGCTGCACTGCCGATCATTTTAGGTTGTTGCAGTATGTCTGTAACATATGTGCTTTTTGGTTCAAGGATTCCCCACATTCTGAAACGTAAACAGCATTTAAAGCATAAATTGGATTATCAACGTGCAATATGCTCCATGATGTGAGAGGGGGCACCAAGCCGCGGCCTGTCGGCGCTGTGCTGACGAGTCGGTGTGTGCCTGTCTGCAGGCAGCAGCGGCCTCCTCCCGGGCACCTCGGACGGAGGAGCTGGCTCAGGTAAGCGCTACTGCCGACGCTCCCAGGGGAACACCGCCGTTCCGGGTCGGGGGCGGGGCGGCTGCCACGTGGGAGTCCGCTGTCTGGGGTCATGGATTTCGACCAGAGTAACCCGAGAGCTGTCCAGTCAGCTTGAGTCCTCAGAGGTACGCATTAACGTTACGATGGCCACTTGTGCTACACCACCGCATCCCGTTAGGGACGCTGACAGGTCGCTGGAGCACTATGCCGACGAGATGTCCAACGAGTAATTGATGTCAAATGGAAGTCAGACCAGTTATGATGGCATGCAGCATGCCATGTATTTTATTGGTGGACGAAATTACATCCCATCAAATGTGGTCATTGTTTACAGAGTGCATGGCTATCTGCCTTGCCTCGTACTGCTCAGAGGTCAGGTCCAGCCTGGAATTCAAGCACTTCAAATTGCACGCATAAAGGAAATGATTGGTCTGTAGGAAAAGGTGATGTCTCGTTTGAATAATCTTCATTTTCTTCCCATAGTGATACATAGAAACATTATTGCACATCACAAGGTCTATCTTGAGAAAAAAGCACATCCGTGGCCAGGTTCTAGGAGCTGATTTTGATGTGCTCTCCAGCTGATGTGGGAATAAATTTTCAGGTCATGCATATGCCCAAAATATTAAAGGAACACAACCATATTGACTGAACTTTGTTGATTAAATACCGTACTCTCGATGAACATGCTTCTTAGGCATCAGTTCAAACATGCGGTGCCTCCAGATCACATGGAAAACATCAAGTTTCAATTATTTGATCCATGAATTGTGTGCACAGCTGCCGTAATTGACCTAGGATGGTCTGGCAATCTGCTGTAGAATATCCTAGGATGGCCTCGCGCGAGCTGTTCCTCCAAGATAATTTGATCTAGTCTATGATGATCCGGCCAGACTTATCATCTCATCAGTTAAGTGATACGCTGTGCGCTAAGCTTGTGGTCGGGAGCGGAAGGGCATGTAGTCTCGTGGTCTGGGCATTGGGTGTTAACATCGGTCTAGCGGAAGATGATGCATACATGCTATTCCGTGTCGTCACCACAGGCTGTTAAAATGGCGCATTTCTGTGCGAATTTTGGGCAAGTCGCTGGTCTCAAACTTAGCCAACACCAGTTCATGGATAGCCACGCGGCCCAAAAGCTAGTCATGAGACGTGTTTCTTGATCAAATGACGGATGCCAGATTATTCATGTACCTCACAATCGTAAGTCAGAGTATGACCTCAGATTGCGTGGGAGATGCAGCCCATAGTTTTCGATGATGTGTTGTCAAGACAGTTTTGGGGCGCAATGATCGGGTGGTTGGCGCTTTCGAATCCCACGTGGGAGGCCGGGTAGCCTGGGTGCGACATGGTCCCTGAGCTCTACGGTAGCCTCTGCAGTGTCTTGCCCTATGAAAAGAGAGGCAAATTAATGTGAGCAAGCGTGGGATGCGATTTATTTGGCTTGATCTCGTGCCACCTCGCGCTGCGTGTGAGAGCCCGGTCGGGGGCTATCGCATATCATTCCAAAGGTAGGCACGGACAGCTTGCTCATTTAGTGCCTGCGAAAACGTTTATGGTGTCATTTTGGCAAGGCGTAGCGTGACCCGGTGAACCAAATTCTGATACGATAGCTCTGGTGTTTATTTGCGGGTGCTGAAAAATATATCAATGCAGCAAAAACGAGTGGGGCCAGCGAGGCTTTTGGCGTGTAAGTCAAATTATTTGTTGCAGTTTCTTTGGATAGGTGCAGTATAAATGCTTGGCGATCGGCCGGGCTGTAGTGTTCCATCGTCACGGATGCTAGCTTCAGTCGGGATCGTAGTCGAGTGTATGCTTGCTCAGAACGCCAATTCTTATACGGAACGGTTATCATGCGAAGGTGGTGAATGCTGGTGGAGCTTAGTCGGTAACGTTCGGTCTAATCCATAGGTTTATGAGTGTCGTGAGGTCTGTTAAATCAGCACCAGCCGTAAGGAAGCAGCCATGAACAAAGTTAATGGGATTTGGTTCGTTATTTTCTCTTTTGGTATTGTTTCACGGAGAATTGAAGGAAACGTACGAGATTAGATGCTCCTTACTGAAATGGCTTGCTGCCAGACGGAAAAATGACCGGTAAGGGCAGTTGTGTGCCGTCGGCTCATCAGATTTATCATGTATGCTGCTTTCCAAAATGGCACTCAAGCTGCTTTCGAAAACCATTGTTACAGATCTAGGCGTCCTTTCATTACGGGCTCTTGGACCTCCACTCAACAGCATACGTGGTGTGGCCAGCGATCACAGCGTGACGTGGGGTGCCGAATGTAGAACATCCGCAACAGCATCCTGATAATTCCACTACCAAGTTTGAGAACGACAGCCGTGCCTTCCAGCGGCTTGTCCGTAAACAAAATTGAAGATGGCGGATGCCAACTTGCTTTGCACATCAAATTGAGTATCAATGCGATGACGCGATTTGGTTTTCGGGTTTTGCGTCATTTGCGATGCCTCGCACTCTTTTGGTACAAGCAAACCGCAGAAACGTGGACTGTCTTAAGCAGATTTGCTACATTGGTGGACCAACTCCGTTATGGTCGCTCCGTTCAAACGTCACAAATTTCGGTTTGGCCATTTACGTTCATGTTTCGGTTGCCTTGGCCTTTTACGGCGCGAGCCAGCCAGCGATAACTTTGGTGGGATGCATTCCTTTTAGTCGGCAGGTCAGGACACGTGCGAAGGGTGTGCGGTGGTCGACTGTGGAGGGGGTTGGAATGGCGGTGTTCCCCTGCATGATTTTGTTGTTAGATGTTGAAATATATGGCGTTTTAGTGGCCCAGCAGCTAGTAACGTAACGGTAGCTGGAACTTAGCAACGTAACGGTAAACGGGACTTATAACGTAACGGTAACGTATGGGCCCAACATGCACTATGTCGTTGCAACGTCTTCTTTGTCAGCCCTTTGGAAAGATCCTGGAACCAGAAGGAACCTGGAAAGATTTAATTGGCTTGGCGTCTAGTTCATAGTAAGTTTAATTTGGGCTCTGAAAACTAAGCATTATGAGTTTTATGACGTGGAGTTTTATGACGTCCTGGCGTTGTATCGGCAGATATTCGAAACGTTTTGTTTTTGAACGAAATTGCTTGCTGCTATAATTAGTCATGCTGGTGGCCTTCGAAACGGTGATTTGCCGTTTTTACGTTAGAGATACTGTGGATATGTATCACTTCTGGCTGACATTGAACACGTTGCCCGCTGCAATTGCGCTTTGCTTTTGAAGTGTTAGCACGCGCTGCTCGTAATTAAACACAGTCGTCGGAATTAAACAATCTCGAAATTTCGTACGAAGACCGCGAACTTCTGGACGTCACAAAACTTTGGGTCAAAACGTCGAGCGGTAGTCCTTTGGTGTAAAAGTAAAATTATTCAAAACTTGCACCAACCAAGAGAGCTCTGAAAACAAATTTACTGAATATGCGCCGTTACATCAGTAAGGTTTTTTAATAAACGCCGCTTGATTCGCTGGTTGTGGTTGCCCATGTTGAAGTTTTACTTGAACGCTTTTGAAATCGAAGTTTGTGATTTGGTGCGGAAGATCATCTCAACGGTGGAGCAGGTATGTCTCTTTTTTGTCAGAGTACTGGCATACTTCCATGCGTCTTAGGTTGTTTAATGCTATTTTCAACAGAAATTTAGGTCAGAAAAGTGCTACAAGTGGGAAATAGCAAAAGCAAGACTACGTGTGACTCATTGCTTGTGACCTAAGTATATATATATATATATATATATATATATATATATATATATATATATATATATATATATATATAATTCATTATCTTCAAGTACCAATATGTTCAGCCCATTTGTGTGAAATACCTGCGATGCACTAAAATAATTGAATCATTTGCCAGCTTGGTGTGTTGAGCGTATTAGGCGCTTCAGTTCTGTTTCATAGGCACAATGAATATGCAGTTTTAAAGGCCGCATGTCCGGCATAAGTCAGCTCGGTTTTTTACCGGATTTAATCACTTGGGATAACGTGTGCCACATTTTGTCAAATCGTTGACGGGACCCTCTGAAGACAAATACTTCGGCCATGTTGTTTGAAATGCCTTGTGAATATGGGAAGGATCGAAGTAAATTGTGCCACGTGGTTTATTTGACATTTGCTCTACGTAGCTCCACTTAGTGCTCTGCTGTCGTCTTAGTTGGCAGGGTACATGTAGGCCCTCGATATTTTAGCGTAAGGTTTACCATCCGTTCATTGCCTTTGTCATATAGTGGCGTCTGCATGTTCTTCGCGTCCTCGGTTTTATATTATGGCCATTCAACTCCCAACATGTTTCGTCGCCACCATCCATACATTTGTATCAGTTAGTCTTGCTATTCACCGTTTTGTTGTTATGAGTGTACCAATTCTAATTTTCGTCCCCACCATCCGTATCTTTTGATCATTTAGGCCAGCTATTGTCTGACGGAAAGAAATTGTTGCTCGCCTTGCGTTCATTGAATGATACGAATTGCGCGGAATTTGATTAAGCCGGTATAAAGAGGTCGCAATATGCATTTATAGCTTGTAAACGTAACAAAATGGTAATGTGACTCCCGCTGCTTCACATGTTCAGAATCATTTCCATTTTCTTCACACGAAATGTTGAACTTACGCCAAGCTATGTAGATTGCAGCAAGGTTTTGTGATATCGGTATGTTGCAGGCCGCCGTTGTATTAGCATTTTACGTATTTCATTTATAGGCATGTATGAACTTTGATTGTTGGTACCTTGAAAGTCTGCTTCTTACTCCTGTATGATGTTGATAGGTCGCGTGTGCTGAATTTGAGCATATGTGCTGAACACGTGTATGAAAGGACTCTTTCCGAGTTTGTGGCTTCGTATTCCAAATTGGTGATCGAGTGGACGACAGGCACGGCTTGGCCACCCATTTTTGCCTGGCTGTGTACCTACTTCCGGAGATAGCTGGAAACTTGATCAACGGTGAGTGCTATGCAAATGTTCCTAAT